TCAATATCAGAACATACACGTTTGTAGTGGGTGTTCTCAAGTGGGTTCAAAGAATTTTTGAAAACTCGTAGTTTTTGATCAAGTAGGTTTTGGATATGTCTAGGATATCTGCAATAGTATGGCTGTCGTATTTTGAAAGGCACAAATATTGCGAGTTTCTTATATAACACACCACAAAATCTACAGTAAACATCTGTGGCTGAGTCATAATTATCAAATACTTGTAACCAGTCAACTTCACTTAGACTACGATTGAGGCCAACATAATCTACATGAAGGAAGTCAGGCAGTGGTACAATACTCTGACCTGAGGAGACCGTTTTCACGCTGAAGGATACAACAAGATGATCGGATGAAGCGAAGGGAGGGAGAGTTTTCACGTCGTCAACAATAAAAGATGAGGTGAGAATGATGTCGAGAATACTGTGACCGTGAGTTGGCTGGGTCACGAGTTGGCTAAGACCAAGATTCCCAAAAAACCTCATAAAACGTCCGGATATAGGGTTTGCAGCCGTGGAGTTGACCCAGTCTATATTAAGATTGAGATCGCCAAGAACAATTGTATTGCAGTTGGTGGAGGAGAGAGTAGCAAGCAAATCAAGAAGGGAGTCATCATCGCTAGTACATGACCGAGGTGGACGATAGACAATGATAAATCTCACTGGTGATAGCGAAGAGAGGAAAAGCGTGTCAACACAAAGGACATCAGCTTTAGGGGCGACTACATGGGGCCTCATTCGCATTAAAAGTGAATTCTTGAAGATGCAACACACGCCTCCACCTCTTCTACCCACTCGATCAAGACGGTGTATGAGATAGGGTAAATTAGCCAAAAGTTCGTTGTCCTTAATTTTCTTTGAGAGCCAAGTCTCTGTAATGAAAACGATGTCAGGTTTAATCGTGGATAAAAAATAATGAAGGTGGTGTAACTTGTTAACAAGGCTGCGAGCATTAAAAAGGTAGCAAGAGAGATAACTTGCAGAACCGTGCTCACTCACACGTTTCCCGAGGTTGTGTGCGTGGTGAAATCAGAGATGTGTTTGAGTTCACCACGGTAAACAACCCATTCACGATTTTTCTTACCTTTATTTCTCTCTTTTGCAAGCTGTCTCAGTTCAAAATCATGCTTTCTTTCCTCCTCAGTCATACTTTTCCTAACAAAAATCTTATCAAAACCAGCATTTCGAAGCAATCGGGCGTTAGCTAGCGCCTTACGCCAATGTACAGTAGAGGGGAGGACGACTTTCACTAATCGGGGTCGAGAGGGATTAGGTTTACCAATTCGGAAGATCTCAGATGCCCTACATTCAACCTGGAGTACGTCAAGCACACCAGAAACCTTAGTTTCTAATTCACTCTGGCGCTCCGAGGGGGAAATGTTAGCAGATGATTCAGCAATACCGGCTATGACGATACTACGGGCACGTTTTTCACTTTCCAAATAATCTGCAAATTCCCTGGGTATTTTCTCGCTCAGTGCTACGAGCATGTGACTTATGATAGGGTCTTTATTGCGTTCTATTATAAGTTTCAGAACTTCATTGGCAGTCATTTTGGAATAATCAACTTCTGCCCTAACCGATGGTTCGGTTAGCGCAGGAGTCTCACTTCTCGAATCAGTCCTCAAAACATTCAGCGATTGGCTGTTGGAAGAAACTTTTACTTTTACTCTGCTATTTCGCGTTTCAACCATGGTATAGTTTTGGGGCAGCACAGTGCCGCAGAGTAGAAAAATCAATTGCCAAAGAACCACCGCAAATGCAAGTAGGTGCGAGAGGGAAAAGATTTGACCTACCCAATCAAGAAAATTGATTACCTGATTAGGTAGCAGTGCAAGGAACACCCTAGGAGAAAGCTGAGAAACTATACAGCGACGAAATAAAAAAACGAATAGAAAGTCGCTGGAAGAAAGAAAAAGAAAAACGAGAAATAAAGGTTACCTGTGGTAGATGCTGCGTGTCGATAGTCCTTGATCACCCAATCAAGAATATTGAATATTGATTACCAGGTTCAGTGGGCGCAAGAGAAGCAAGCAAGCAAACAAACAAATAGGAAAAAAGGCAGAAATTGGCTAACTCGAATTTAAGTGATCACTCGCAAGTTTTCTAATAAGACAGTGAAAATATTGGTTGGCAGAATTAATTAGGGAAGAGTACCAGAGAAGGAAAAGTAAGATGATAAGACAGGACAGAGGAGCACACGACCGCTCACAGCGCGCGCACGCACGGAATTATTTTGTGGTAGCTATGGTAGTTTGCTGGTGCATTTCCCGTTTCAAAGCATTGATCGGGGACTAAGCCGCACTTGTGCCATTTTCTTTGCCAATATTAACTTATTTATTCATTCATTCGGAAATATGGTGTTATCAGCCTGCGCCGTGACCACGCTGCTTCTCACATTTTATGGTCGCTTGCAGAAATTTTTTTCTGATTCAAAACATGTATATAAGAAGTTCGTGTGGTCTGCCACTGTTAAACGTGCGGTCAAAAAACCACAGGAATATGGAAAGGGTTATTCAGCCTCGGAATTGCTTACACGGGCAGGGGTAAGAGGGGAGAGCTGGCTAGGTGGGAATGATCATACTTTTGCCACTTGATGGATCGACACCTGCCTGTTTCACGGGTGCCAAGAGCCCTTGTTGCTCCATTTCTCTGGTCTATTCAGTCGAAAATGAAGCTTGTTCGTGCTGGTTCTTTATGGTAGAAGACCTTATTCTTGGGGGGAGTGAAAACTGAGGACTGCTACCGAGCAGTATGCGTACAGCTCAGTGTAGGACTGTACGGACTGTAGTATCAAAGAAAGAAGAGAAGCATGGACGATGAGAAACAGGTCATTTCAATTCGCAGAACAAGTTCCCTTCCCTCCCCCCTCCTCAGTTCCCCCTTCCAACTACACGGAGCCGTAATTAGTATGCTGCTTCAACGGAATCATCAGAGCGCATGGTACACTCATGACAAGCCAGAAAGGAAATTTTCCTCAATTGAACACCAACGTGCAGTCATGAGCCCTGCGAGCGGGAAGACATGTGAGGGCGTAGACTAAAGCGCAGCCAGTGCTGAGCGCGGCGAGTAGATTGAAGCAAAGCCAGGGCAGTTTTTTCCACCAACCGTAGCGGGCTCAGGATTGATATTCATGGTGGAAATGGACCGCTGAAGCCTCAGGGTATCTCTTAACCACTAACCATGAAAAAACTGAAGAATGTCTTCATATCTGTTACCAGTCGGATACATACCCCCCCCCGCTCGCGACATCTTTACATGAGTATATTGCATGAAGTGTAAAGGCTGATCGGACGAACGACAACGGTGATGTTTCTTATCAGCCCCTATCATTAGTTTATCAGTTTCTGTCACCCACCGTCGACGTCCCCACCTCGTCCGCTGCATCACTTGCTGTAGTTAACACCTAGCAGATGCTGTGTGCCGCGTTATGAATATGGTTACCTTCCCATTCTAACTTCCCTTATCAGATCTTATCAGCTGCTAGCAGTTCTTGTCACGCACAATAATGTTCTGGTCCCATACCTGCATCATATCTTGGAATCAACGTCTAGACGATGCTGTGACCCGCGTTATGGACTCGGTGGCCCTCTCACTCTGACGCTCTTATCAGATCTTATCAGCTGATATCACTTCCTGTCACCCACCAATAATGTTTCCGTCACAGCCCCTAGTATCCTTGGAATCAATTTTCCACAGCTACTGGGAAGGTCGCTATGAACTTCGTGACACGCACACAGACATACTTAGCGGATTATATATGGTAGGATTATATTTTCAGAAAAATGGTTAGTTTCCTAGTAGATGGAGTCAAACACGGTTCAAATCTCGAAAAGACTGATAGGTAGACAAGCTCATTCATACCAACAAACAAGAAAGCACCATCGGTTTGAGAGGGACATTTTGCACTTTCACTAGTTTCTTTTTTGTACGTTTATATTTAGGCTACATCTTCGTGAAATGCTGCGCAAGTTTTTGCGGAGCCGTGAATTATTAGATGTGAGCCACTCTGGTTACAGGAAGGTCTTCACAAGGTAACAGGACCCGAATTATTGCAGTCTGCAACCACATAAAAAAGAAATTGGTGCTGGCACCGATAACAAAGCTACACAGCGCTACAGTTCTTCGTTCCTGGGCTATTCTGGCCTTACCAAGGAACTGAAGATCGTTAAATTCCCACACGAATCTGAGGAAACGGAAATACGTCACATTAAGCCGTTGCAATGCAGCAGACAATCGAAATACAGTATATTTCATTCCAGCAAGGATACAGTGCCCGGCACCGTTCGAACTGTCGAGAAGGGCCATTCATTCGCTTTGTCGTGTCAGCCGAGGACATACTGATACTAGATGAAAATATCCACTTCAAGGAAAATCAAGGTTAGTGAGCTCATTTTTGGCTTAAGGTCAGGCGTGCCATTAACGAACCTTGAAAGGGACAAATTCGGTGCACAGCAAGGAATGAGACCGACTGGAGGAGGAGAGTTCTGCGGCGCTGTTCGGTTTGCGAGGGTCATTTTGCACTTTCGTCACTTCATTTTGGCAGTTCATTTTGATTCAGAAGTCCTCACCATAGTGAGACTTGTAGGATGCGTAAATGGGGTCTGTCGGGTGCCCCCACCAGGCCGTATTGCGCTGGGCTCTACTCTATCTAATCCAGCGCTGCACTAGTTTTGGACTCGTTGTTATTCGAAACAGTTGAAAAGACAGAAGAAGAAGAAGAAGAGGGACATATCACTTTCACCAGAGATGTGGATCCACTTACAGGAGCACAACGGCAGTACCACTGAAGGCTGAAAGGCTGAAACAATTGAGGAGAGAATGAGAAACGCCCATCCTCTCGCTGAGACCAAATGCACGACTATCTCAAAGGGTTTGGTATTTGAACTTCCCCTACTTTTGCACGTTTCTATTCTTTCAATTTGAAAATTCCAAGCAGACGCGGTACAACGCTACCCACCAACTGAAAACTAGCGTGCCCGCCGACCGAGGACACTAAATATTTAACTTTCAGAGGAACAAACCGGGAAGTCATTTTGAAGTGAAACGTGCATTACACTCGGTTTTTGTCATATCAGAACTTCTGCTACCTGTAAGTAGAGAATCGGCAGTGATGGACGTTTTTAGTGTTCCTTAGCACTACGCGGTTCCCTAAGATCGTCTACTTCATTCCGCTACCTCGTGCGCGTCCTAGCGGACGAGACGGATGTTCCGCGTACGGCAACGCACGCAAACTATTAGCTTCTAGTTCTTAGCTATTTGCTCGATGAAATGTAGCGATCCCCCTCTCTTGGTCCTGGCACGAATGCCGCGCCTGAGACATCGCATCATTAGAGACTGGATTTCTCAGCCTTCTTCTCAAAAGAACAAATGCAGTTACTGCGTACATGATCGCATTAGAGCGAGGTGTAGCTCCTCACAGGCTTCACATAGACCGCGATGTACTTGACTCAGTCATCCTGGTCCCTTTAATTATTG